GTTACTGGATTTACTATCTCTTAAAATGTAAGCAACCAGTAACTATTAATGATAAACCATCTGTTCACTATACATGTGAGGTTTAACAAATAAATACTACATGCTAAACAAACAAGCAAAAACCAACTTAGATTATTTTTTCCTAAATGTACTGTCTTGCACTTGTCCCCATGAAGATTCCTCTACAATTTTTTTGCCAGCTCACCAGCTCACTCCATGATGAGAGAACTTTTTGCGATGTATTTCCTTTGGAAATGCTGTTTGCCACTGTGCACTTTCTACTTTATATTATAAAAGCAGTCCCCAGTGAAAAGAAATCCTGCTGACAGACTTCTCTCTTTTGAGATGAACCCATTTATTCCTGCACTTTGTTAGAGCTCTAAGTCCTGCATTCTTGACTAAAACAATCACCTGGTGGCTAAGTTCAATGGGCAAAAAAAATAGACTGGGGCTTCACAACTTGCACTTTCTTTTCTTTTCTTTTTTTTTTTGAGTTGGAGTCTCACTCTGTCGCCCAGACTGGAGTGCCATGGCACACTCCCAGCCACTGCAGCCTGGACCTGCTGGGCTCTGGCGATCCTTCCGCCTCAGCCTTCCAAGTAGCTGGAACTACAGGTGCGTGCTACCACGCCCCACTAATTTTTTTGATTTATTGTAGAGATGAGGTCTCGCCAAGTTGCCTAGGCGGGTCTCGAACCCGCGGGCTCAGGCAATTCACTCACTCGGCCGCCCAAAGCGTGAGATTACAGGCTGAGCCACCGAGCCTGGCACAACTTGCATTTTCAAATCAGTTAAAAGTTTATGCATAAACTTCACTCCTTATGATATTCAAATTAATCCACCCTTCAGATAAGGAAGAAAAAGAGTAACTGATTCTGGACCACTCTCAGGTTTGACTATTTTTAGAGAATCATCATCTTTCCAACCAAGTTAGCGTATCTGCAATTGAATAGTAAGAAATCAATTTGCTTTAAATCATCAATTCAGAGGTTTATACTGTATTCTTCTTCAGGTAGATCTTATAATTCAGCTCATTCTGCAATGCCTAGTCCATTTCTCATCTTTGTAACCACCCACCTCATCCCTGCTGTTTTCTTCTTTGGGAGGTCATTTGAATCAACAAATGCATTTGAGTCCTTATTCTTTCAGTAGCAATACCACCAAGCATAGCTGTGCCATTTGCCTTCCTGTCACCCTTCACTGGTCTCAGTTATAGAGAGTAATAGTAAAGGGAGCGGAGATGGAAGTTTAATGTTCACCAAAGCATTGGACCTGATGGCAAAGGGAAATCTTTTTGGCCACTGGTCACAGGATTGGTGACTTACCTGGCACACGTAGTTAACACTTGACAGTCATTCCCAGTGGCACTTACCGTTCTCATCAGACAAGTCACACAACTGGCAGTCTGAGTAGTTTGTAGTTTGTTTGTTTTCTGTCATCTGGAAAATCCTACAGGATATTAAATTAAACAGACATCCTGTTCCTCTGCAGCTAAATACACAGAGCATGAGGGCAATGTGGCATAAGCTTTGGCAAGCTTTAAGGCCTTAACAACAGTCAATACATTTCCAGCAGCATAAAATGAGCTATTGAATTTTCCTGGAACAAGTCAAATACATCAGGGAGAATGAAGGGTCAGATCAAACTCAGCATGGTTACATGGAACATTTTTAAGTAGGGAGAAAAGAAACTAGAGACTTTAAAGTGAGGAAATTGAGGAAGTGGTGAGAGAATGGAAAGATGCGGGTGGTTTTCCACCCCAAAGAAAGAATAGGATGATGGTACCTACACAGATGCAGGAGGCAAAAACATTAGAAACACTTAGTTCTTTTCTGAGGCTAAGTTGCCTAGGAGCAGACACTGAGGCTTGAATTTGCATGTAAACATTTTAATAAGAAGGTATTTTGAGAAGAGACTGGGAAGGATCTGAAGACAATGTGATTTGGGGCAAAGTCTTAACCTCAACCTGATGGTGCCAGGAGGCTTTGGAATGTAAACTTTACTTCAGTTTGTCCTGACTCTTGGCCAAGGAAACAGGGTTTCAGATTTCTCTGCCTTTTTGGTTATGACTCAGGGCTACTTGGGCAGGTTGGGTGGAGTAAACTCTAGACACTTTTTGGTCTTTGCTGGAACAGGCAAAAAGAGTTCAAAGGCAATCCTCTGAAGAGAATTGTGGGAACCGGTCATTAGAAGAGAAGCTCACAGTTTCCTGTGAAGGCATTGAAGATATCCAAGAAGATCTGAACAGACCACAGACAATGGTCAACCCAAAGAAAAACCATATTCCCTAGGCAGGGAAAGAATAATTTATTCATTCACACAATATCTTTTGAGCATCTAACATGTGTGCTTTTTTCCATGCTAACTGTTAGATTTGAAGATGAATGATTCTTTTTCTTGAATATGATAGGACTCTTTATTGACTTGTGCGTTAAATGCTATGGACCTAAGGACAGTGAGGGCCACTAAACCTGGAATGTATAAAGCATTTAGAAAACAGAATCGACTCCATGAAGGAATAAATCAATCAATACTTATCCGATGACTTAAGAGGCAGTGTTTTAAAATACAAACCAGAAGCAATTCAATTAAAAAATATTTATTCAATAATTTATACCAAATGAACAGTATCTACAAAGCATCAAGCCACATTTTACAAAAAAAAGTAAGTAGCTGTTTGCTAAATGAATTAACAAGACAGGAAGAAGTTGAGGAATCTTACAGGCAGGCCTCATTTTATTATTTGGGCCGTGTGTGTGTGTGTGTTCCAGATAAGATATAATTTTACTTCCACTTATCTAAGATTTCCATATTTCACCAAATTCTCAATTTGCTGATTTCCAAAATAGGAATTTGTGGTAGAGCGCAGGAAAGATCAAAATCATACTTTCACTTTGTGTTTTAGACAAATCATGACTCATCCTTGTGGTTTTTAGCTTAAGTTGTGGTGCACAGAAAGAGTTGGGGTTCTTTCAACAAAAAATATGAGTGAATAAGCTGATGGGTAAGAAGTGAATGGTGACTGTTGCTCATGTCTTCAATGAAGTTTTACTAAAATCCAGAATCCTTCTCATCAAATCTGAGCTTTACCTTAGATGGAACTATTTACGATGCAACATTAGTGTTGGCATATTATTCTTTGGTATTGACAGTTAGATAGCCTGTCTGACATGAAAAGCTGTAGTTGTCTGTTTATTCTCACCAGCTGCTTGCTCCTGGGCTAGAGAACACTTTGACCTCTCTTAAACATGAAGGTGGACACTTGTGCCCACTCAAGGCAACCCATGACTGTTTAAGTCAGTAGAGTCAAGTATTATTATCTTCTGATAGTTTCCACGCATTGTAAATTTTCTTCCAAAGTCAAATTGTCAAGGATGCAATAAGCAATAAAATGACAAAGTTTTCATCAAAAACAAATTAACTAATCCTTGAAGGGATCACAGTCCTTTCTTTTTTTTTTTTTTTGGATGAGCATACCAAATTCAGTGGTGATTATACAGGTGTTGACATTTGGGTTATGTCCTTAATACTCACCTTTCTAGCTTTTCCTCCTCTCTGTATACTTTGTTCACTTGAAAACTTTTTGCAAACTTTAAAGGGAAAATGAAAGAAATTAAATTATTATAGTTTACTTTAAAAAAGCCTCTCTTTTCTTGATCAGTGTTATGATTATGATGATACCTATCTATTATTTTTAAAATTTTATTATTATTATTATTATTATTATTATTTTGAGCCAGAGTCTCACTCTGTCACCCTGGTTGGAGTGCAGTGGCGTGCTCATGGCCACTTGTAGCCTCCACCTGCTGGGCTCAGGCAATTCTTCTGCCTCAGCCTTCCAAACAGCTAGAACTACAGGTACACACCATCACGTCTGGCTAATTTTTTTGACTTATTGTAGAGATGTGGTCTCACCAACTCGCCTAGGCTGGTCTCAAACCCCTGAGCTCAGCCAGTTCTCTCGCCTTGGCTTCCCAAAGTGCTGGGATTACAGGCTTGAGCCATCGCACCTGGCTACTTATCTATTATTGAGTGTGGTGAGTGCTATAGTTGACCTTTACAAATGTTATCTTAGATCCTTATATCAACCCTCTAATTATTATTGACAGTTTATGTACTAGAAACCAGAAACCTAAAATTAAGATTTTAAGTGATTTCTCCAGGACCATCAGTAAAGTAGGGATTAGAACTCGGATGTTTTTTATTCCAAAATGATTCCTGCATTCCCTATCATGAGCCAACTTTCCTTCCTTCGATTTTCATTGCCACTCTCAAATTGTTCATTATGTTTCCAAAGTCCACAGGGTTTTTTTTTTTTTTTGTCTTTTTCTTTTGTTGTCTTTTTTTGAGTTGGAGTCTCACTCTGTCACCCAGACTGGAGTGCAGTGGCCGCTCCCGGCCACCGCAGCCTCGACCTGCTGGGCTCCGGCGTTCCTTCCGCCTCAGCCTTCTGAGTAGCCGGAATTACAGGCATGCGCTACCACGCCCGGCTGATTTTTTGATTTATTGTAGAGATGAGGTCTCGCTGCCCAGGCGGGTCTCGAACCTGCGGGCTCAGGCAATCCACTCACCTCAACCTCCCAAAGGCGCGGGATTACAGGCTGAGCCACCGAGCCCGGCTTCACAGGGTTTTTATACATCTCTCACTGGTTAATATTTTTATCTCCTGTTTTTAGCAAGGTATCCATTTCAATTCATTGGCTGGGACATTTTATGATAGCATATAAAATTATTTTTCTAGCTCAACAACTGTTTTCCTCCATCATTCCTTAAGTCTGGAGGCACTCACATCTAGCTTAGTAAATAAATACTAAGAGAAAAAAAAAAAAAACAACAAGCAGATAGATTAACAGGTCAATCCTGTTGCTGAGGAGAAGAATTCCTTTCTTTCCTTTGTTAGTCTAATAGGCAAGGTTTGCACTAAGAGATTTTAAAAGCACCTGAGAAAGGTGATGATAAGCAGTGACTAGGTGGTTTTGATATTTCTGACCAGGTGGCACCCTAACAGTTCTGGTTTAAATGGAGGAGAACAGTAAGAAGGACCATTGGGCTACGCTCAACCAAGGAGAGGAGAATGAACTGGTGAGTCTTTTCTTTTTATTAGTCTTCTAAGAGTGACTATGGGCAGGAGCAATGGACTGTAGCACTGATGATGCTAGATTTAGGCATGGAAGGGGTTAAATCTGACAAGGCTTCTTGGGAGCCACAAGGTACCCTTTTATTGTGAGGAAATCAGAAGGGACTGAGAAAGTTATGTCCTCTGGATGGCGGAGGTCTTGCCATCTTCACATGCCATGGACCATGTGAAGTTTCCTTAGACATTTTGCAGAGTATTTGGGGTACCTTCCCACATGGTGCTCATTGGGGTGTTTCCCTCTTAGGTTGGAATATTATTGGACAAACTGGCAAAAACTGCAACTCTTTCTTTTCCTATTCTTATGTTTTGGATATGTCTGTATAATCTAGGCTCAGGGTGCTTTGAGCTGGTCATGCTTCTTATAAGAGGAGAGAGAAGTTTTGAGCACCACGTACTGAAGAAAGAAAAGAATATGGCCTGGGATTTTCTCACATATGAAAAAAAATTTTTTTCTCACTTCTCCAACTTTTTTTTCACACTGCCCTTTTCACCAAATGTATATAAATCTTGAAGAATAATCATTAAAAATGTGAAAACTTCTGTAGTGCCTATTTGGTGCTGAGGAATTTGCATTTATGATTTTACTTAATCCTCAGAACTCAGTAGTGAAAGAAACTAATCCAATTTATTGAAAAGAAATCTGAGAGGGAGGTTAAGTAACTGACCCTAGGTCATTGGCCAGTAAGAGATAGCCTACTCCCTTTTTTCCCAGCCTTGTACTCTTTCTCGTGTGCTATGAGAAAGGGTGACAAAGATGGGGAAGGTTCAGAATGAGAGCACACTGGGAGCTAAAAGAACCAGGAGAATGTGGTTCATGCGTCAGAATCCCGTCAGTTTCCCTGTCTGGCCTCCCCAGTTCCCCGTGAGATCTGTGAAAAGTTCATACCAGCTCTTTCTCCACCTATCCTTGTTTGCTAATCTAAGGATAAGAAATAATTTCATCTACATCTGTGCTGTCCAAGAAGGTAGCTACTGGCTATGTGTGGTTTTTCAGCACTAGGAAATAGCTGGTCCAAACAAAAATATGCTTTATGTGTAAAATATACACCAGATTGAGAAGTACAGTACTTTGGAGAAAAAGTAAAATATCTCAATAATATTTATGTTGGTTATATATTGAAATGAAAATACTTTAGATAGTTTGAGTTAAACAAAGTCTTTTGTAACAATTAATTTCACTTTTTACAGGTGGCTACTAGTACATTTAAAATGACAAATGTGGCTCACATTTGTGGCTTGCGTTATTGTACTATGCTGAGTTTGGTAATGGTGCTTTAACATTTTCAGAGGGAAGGAATTTAAAGACTTAAAAACGATTCACCTGTGTTCACTGCTAAGCAATACTGTGTCAGCTTTGATGTTTTCATTCAACATGTAGATAAGTGTTTATGAAAAACTTAGGTTGCTCTTTCTTCTTCTCTAACTTAGTGCTATATTTCTTATGTTTAGAGCCCAATATTTTAATTTTCCCAATAACAGATGGAACATGGGAATTAAAGGATTAAACAATGGGCCAGGTGCCACCATTTCTTTCTTTTTTGTGGGTGGTCAAGTACCTTTGGAGAAGTTTCACCAAAAGCCTCTATGAGGACTCCCACTAAGCTCACCCCGTGTTGTCAGGGCATTCTGGGGAAGGAAAAGGTCTGTAGATTTCTCTTTCACAAATCTTACTTTTGGGTTGAGAGCACAGATGCAAATTGTATTCTGGTGGATCAGGAAATCTGGTAAGTCAGGTAAACTGTGGTAACCCAAGGGCACAGGCTGAAGAGGAAGCTGTGACTTAGCTCCAGGTGACTGCTGTCCTGCAAGTCAACAGACCTAGTATTGTCAGGCCTGTTGGGGTTTTTTAAGGGAAGCTAGAAATCTGGATTTTCATGTGATACAGCCTGATCATAAATTTGAACAACAAATTCATTTTTTAAAAACAATCATAGGTCAAACTAAACCTGGGCTTGGTTGAGTCCCAGCCTTGGGGGCTTTCAGTCTGTGAGGTTGACAGCCTCTCCCCACTAGCTCTTCCTTTCCTGGAAGTTCCCCATGACCCAGCCTGACTTCTACTTGCGTTTATCATTTCAAGTGAGTGATCAGTTGTGATCACGAGAGGAATTGTGATGAACATTAGACACTGTTTAGGCAAATAATAAATTCCTTCAATCAAACACCCATGAAGAACCTAAGTGAATGGGGATGACCAATGAGATCATTCAAGTGCGGTCTTGGAATATTTTGTTGAGCTCAGCATGGACCTAAATCGTCTCATTCACCTGTAGAGTTGAACTCAGTTGTCATTCCTGTCTCCAGTTCTCAGGCCCTAACTCCTCCAGAAGTGGAACAGCTAGTGCCTACTTTGCAGACACACGGTGCTAGGTTCTTGACAACAGGTTTTCATTTTATCATTTTACTCTCACAACAGCTCGTGAAATAGGTACCCTCACTGTACAGACCTTTACTGTCCTTCCTTACATACTCCTGCCCACTCCCCAACCTCCCTATACCACCTAGCTCCAACCGGCTCCTTTTTTTCACCTGCTTTTTTCCTAAAAATGTGCCCTGCCCAGATGTTTCCCTCAACCTCTCTATTCGCAGTCAGTTTGTCTTGTCTTTTTGTGGAGTCCTCTCAGGAGCCACAGGATCCTTTAAAACACAGACCCTAAATGAGCCTGAAGCTTTCAGGCTATACAGCTTAATGCCTAATGGAATGGGATTTGGCCTTGGGATGACCTGGGTTTGAATTCTGATTCTGTTAGACAAGTTATTTTACCTCTTAAATACCTGCTGTTTGGTATCATGGTGAGCATTAAATGAGGTAATACAGCTTTTCTAAAAATATCTTCTGCTGAGTAACATTGTTAATAGGTATAACACATCTCCTTATTCTCCCTACCAATTAGATTAGAGAAATACTAGGTGAAACAGTTAGGCAGGTGACAGCAGAACTTCTTAAATCTTGAATATATTTGTCATAGTACATTCTGTGTTGCTATAGCAGAATATCACAGTTTAGGTAATTGATAAAGAAATTTATTTCTTAAAGTTCTGAAGACTGGGAAGTCCAAGATTGAGACTCCCCCCACCAAATCTGGTGAGGACCTTCTTGCTGCATCATCTCATGGTAGAAGGTGAAAGGGCAAGAAAGCAAGACAAAGCAGAGCAAGAGGGGACTAAGCTTGTTTCTGCAAGTCTACTCTAGCGGTAACTAACCCCCTCTCATGATAGCAACTTTCATACATTCAAGAGAACAGAGCCTCATGACCTAATCACCTCTTATTAGGCACCCCCCTTCCCAATACTGTTGCATTGGGGATTAAGTTTCAATGCATGAACTTTTGTGGACACAGTCAAACCAATCATATTTTAGATCTTTGTGCTCTCTTAAGAGGGCACTACAGTATGCTATATTTCCTAAACATCATGCGTCCAAGGAATCCTCTCTCTCTCTCTCTCCCTCTCTCCCTCTCTCCCCCTTTCTCTCTCTCTCTCCCTTTCTCTCTCTCTCTCTCTCTCTCTGTGCATGTGTGAGTGCATGCACAGATTCTTCCCAGACTGCTGTTTTGTGGAAACTTCATAGGAAAGTTGGGAATGTTATCAGCAACTAACAGGCATTATTTTATCATTATGCCCTTCTGGGAAGAAAAATAATCATGATGTCCCTGCTCAGCCAGGCATGTCTGAAGGTACACTATGTGTACATCAGCCTCTCTTTAAGGTCCCCTCTAGCCACATTGACTTTCTGAATATGGTCTCAATTCTGTCCCCACCCGAGCCATGAGTGCTGCTTTGATTCATATCAGTTGCAAAGCCCAACCATTCCATCTGTGCTTCCCTTCTGTACAGACACCTACCAACCATAAATGTGAAAGTGACAAATGGGAACAGCCCCAGAAACAAAATGGCTGTTTGGTGTGGAGGATGCAGAGCTGATAGGGGAGCATGATAATTCATGGCAACTTTCTTCTGCTAACAGTAGAGGAGCCCTAGACTTAGGCAACAAATCTGGCCTTTCATCAAGTTTCTTCTCTAATCACATGATTGTGTACATCTTTTTGGTCCTTGCTAGTTGTCTAAGAACAATACCACTAATCCTCTTGATTCACAGGTTTTGTGAGGATTACATATGAAATGTGGGAAAAGCTATAAAAAATAAAAGGGTTTATTTATGTGCAAGGAGTCAGGAGTTAAGATGTGCAATTTGGAAAATGAAGGAATATGTATATTAGGTGAGATTGATGTTGAGCATATTTCCTGTTTTCTGATTAAAATGTAAAGAATGATCATTGAAGTCTATCACTACAAAAAAAAAGTAACATGTCAAGAGTTGTTAAGATGAATCTGGAATTTTGAACATCTAGATTATTTTATACATATGATGTCATATATTCCTCACCCTCCATTAAAGGAGCAAAAAATAAAATAAAATAAAATCTACAAGAGATTAAAATTGAAAAGTGAAATTGAAATGGAAAAGCTAGCCCTACTGGCTCTCTCCTATTTTCAATCAACATGTGTACTCACAGCTTGGATGAAGTGAAGGTAAGCTTATCAATCTTCAGCTGATACCTAACTAAAAGGGAGAGATAACCATATAGGTGACAGAATCAAAATTCAAAAATTTTTCTAGGCTGGATTATAGGAGAGAAATTGGCAAGATGCAGTATAACAGGCCTCACTATTGAGTTTCGCTTTTAAATTATTATCAAACTACAAAGTGAGAGTATCAATGACTTGGGCTTGGTAGCTATACAGAAAAAGTAATTGAAGGACTTTATTTGATCATGGCCAAATTTTAGTTGCCAATGTGATGTAGCTATAAAACAGTCCTGGAATGCCTTAATAGAAGTCTGTTCTGCAATATAGAAGAAATAAAAATAGTTCAGTTATAATTCTGTACTGTTTAGAAAATCTCTAGCAAGTTATATTTAATCCTATAACACATACTTTCAGAGAA